CCGAAGGCACAGCGACGATCACGAGGGAATACAAAGGCGGTAAAGAGGCGCGGGGGTTGACAACGACGATAAACGAGCGCACACGGTGACGAGTGCTCTTTATCCCTCTCTCTCTCTCTCTATCTCTCTTTCTCTCGTTCCCCTCTTTATTTCCTCTTCTGTCTCCTTTCTTCGCTTCCGCTTGACGGCTTCCTCCGGCACGCGGAGCGGGCGCGTAGGGAATGAGGTGTTCTTTCCGGGGCGACCGGCACGTCGCGAGTAAACTTTCTCGGAGAGCGAGTTTCGTGTTTCGTTTTCTGTCCCTCTCTCTGTCTTCCTTTATGTTCGCACGCGCGCGCGCCCGCGCACTCCGCGTCCCACCTTGCGCTCGTGAACTTTAAGCTGTCACCCCGCGCACACCGCACGGTACACAGCGGCGCCACGAAAGTTCCGCGACAAAACCGCCCGCGCAGTTGGTTGTTGCAGTAGCAGGTGTCGGCGCCGCGCGAGATTAAAACGGGCGCCGCGCGCAACCGAAAATTACCGAAAAAATACTCGTGCGTTTTAAAACGCGAAAAAAAAGTTATTCTTTCCCTTTAAGTTATATCTCGTGTTTCTTTTTCACGCTTCCTCACGCGTGTGTCTTCTCAGATATCTCTCTATCACTGTCTCTCTTCCTCTTTTCGTATTCACGTCACGACGCACACAAAGCGAACCCCACAAAGTACATCAAACCGGTAAAACGATTTCGCGATCAGCTGGTTCGTCTGATCTCTGGAGCATTCCGATCGAACTTCTTGTCTTCCAACTCCGATCGACAAATCGTCTTTTTCGTACACTAATTTTTCCGTCAATGACAACAAGATGCAACGGATAGTCCACGTTTTTCAAAAGTTAATACGTCAGTCTATCAATCGAGAAAAAGAAACGATTTCGAAGGCTTTGCGCACCGATAGCCACTGCTCCTCTCTCCGAAGAATCGTTGGCCAGGAAAAACTACCTGCTCGCACGATCGTTGCCTGCCTGCACGCTCGTTTCCTGTGTCGTTCACAGCGAGAAATAGTCAAGCTCCGTTCTCGATGCTCCGTTTACAGAACGTCCTCGCGTCACGAGCGCTCACGGCAAACTAGCAACTGGCGACGCGACGACGACCTCCTCCCCTCCTCTCACCGCAGCACCGCCGCCTCCACATGCTCCCCTCTCCGGTTCTCGTCCTCACCCCCCAGCTCCACGGTAGAGAGCCTCATACCGCTACCAACGCTTCACCCATACCCCACTCTCTCGCTCGCCGTCAACTCAACCCCCCTCTCCTCCTCCGCCCCTCCCCCTCCCCTACCTTCCGTCAGTTCTCTCGCTCTCCCGCGCGCAACCCCTCATCACAGTCCTCCGACGACCCGCACCGCTCTCTCACTCCCCAGCGGCCCTCTTCGAGCGCGTCAACCCCCCTCAGTTCCTCGTCCCCCTTCCTCACCGTGACCATCGCCCTCTCTCTCTCTCTCTCTTTCTCTCCCTCTCTCTTTCTCTCCATCTCCGTCTCTCTCCCTTCCGTTCCCTCTCGTTTCTGCTTCTCTTGTCCCGGCGCCCTCGTCGGCTCCCCCTCGACCCTCGACCCTCCCCACTCGGTTCGGTGCGGTGGCGGCGGCGGCGGCGGTAAGGTAGGGTCTGTCACCGTCAGAACATCGAGGGGGCCGCTGGACGAGTAACTCGGGGGGGAAAGCGGGAGAGGGGGCGAGAGGATTCAAAGGGGCGTAAGGGGCCGCTGTCGGGCATCCGTTGGCGCGGGGAAGGGAGGGGGTGAGGGAATGGGCGGCAGGGACCTTTCCGGACGGTGAGAGCAGGGCGGCGGGAGGGTAGTAGTACAGCGTAGAACGAGGGGCCAAGGGGCGCCAACGCTCATCGGGCCGAAGGGGCTTCCACGGGTGTGTTAGGCTTGTGCTTAGAAGGGTATGTGCTTTGCCCACCGCTTTGCTCCTTCAGCATACATGTGCGGCACTGCTACGTGGACGTACAATATCTACAGTCTCTATCTCTCCCCCTTTCTCTCTCTCTCTCTTTCTCTCTATCTCTCTTTGACTGGCCTTCGTCTATTTGAGTGTGTTGCTCTATCTGTATCTATACCACTGTCTGTATATCTCTCTTTCTCTCACACACGCACATTTATACACGCATTCTCTCTCTCTCTCTCTCTCTCTCTCTCTCTCTCTCTCTCTCTCTCTCGCTTTCTGTCTTTCTGTCGTTTGTCGTCTTCTCCTCATGTTGGACTTCGTTCTTTGCACCATGCTGTCACACCAGTATGCCACTACCGGCGATACGTAACGTTGCCGGCTTTGCCGCGATACCTGAAAGACGTAAGTTATACTATACTTCTTCGTCGAGAATAGTCCTTTCCTTGTCAGCTTGTATGCCTACCTGCGTACAACTTGGATCCTTATTCTCGAAAAGAAACATATACGAAAAACTAGGAAAAGTAGTATTTCCACTTTTGCAGCAGTATTGGACTTTTTTTTATACATTTCTTTTCAAGAATAGAGGCCCTGGGCGAAGGAACACTGAACGGGTTTGCTTTCTTGATGCGAATACATTTAAAAAAATGCAGTTTTCTCCGTTTAAACCTTGCATATTATTTGCTCGTTGTCGTCATTGTCATCTTACCACCTAGGTTAATACGAATAATGACGATCTACACGTAAATATCAGTAATCTACTATGTCGAAAATGTATCCTCTTATACGTAATCTAAGTAATCCTAAGTAATCGAAATCATCGATTATTTCTTGTCATTCAGTTGTAAGTTACAAAAAATTGATCTGCATCTATTTATACATAGATTTGAAATAATCATTAATATTTGGTTGATATTTTCGCAATCAAAATGGATATTTAAATAGTGGAATGTCGCACGAGATTGATCTTTAGACATATATTTTTCCTCGCTTTTACTTGTATTTTTATCTCCTCGCTTAAGCCTTCCATGTTATTAACCGATCGTCGCGCTGCCAGCCCGGATTAATACTTTACAGCTGGGTCAAACGCGTGAAGTCCAATAATTATAATATCGAGGCGAACGGCGATTGTCGGACACGCCATCGTCCTTACATAATTGCCGTTTTAAACTGGCGATTTAATCCGATCCACATGATGAACGCATCATTAAAATCTGGTTCACAAAAGTGACAAACATAAGGGAATATCGGAGGTACAGTGTTAGATAATAAAGAAGCAATCATAATTCCTTAAGTTAATAATATTTTTAATTTCTACGTATCAAAATGTAAATTAATCCATTTTGGTGGTTACATTCAGTTTCGAAGTAAACAACGTGTCATATTAACATACGTATTTAGTAAATAAACTAAATTTGAATCAAATTTAATAAATTTCTTGAATTAAATTGTTTAATTCTATTGTTTTAGTTAGTTAAATTAATAATCTATTGAATGCAGGAGCAGTGATGACCTATAAAGATGAAAATATAAAAGAACTCAAATAGAGGCTACAATTTGACGTTATTAATTTAATAGGGTAGTCGACTTTCCTGAACATCGAATTACGTTACCATGTGTATATGTTTGATACGTTTATTCGTGAACGAACGAGACGACCTATACCGTCCTTACGATGGTACGTGAAAGGATTCGTGCAAACTTATACTTTGGTAATTCTCTGACGAGAAATCGCAATTTTCCTTTGCCGTAAATCTGAAAACGACCGCAGTCAGCCAATCGTATGCGGTAGTCTCATCGGGTCAAGTACGAGCAAAGATATGGAAAGTCCATGCGTTCAGAAAGACGTAAAATCAGTGCTACGTTGGTTAACCTTGATATCCGAAACGATCGAAATATTTTCTAAAAATATCGTTTGTCTAAAGTAAAAAAATACATTAATCTCGTAGTTTACCTCAACAAAAATTAACACGAAGCATAAAGAAATTATGCAAGTTATTTGAACAGGAAAAGAATCATTTTGTTGAAATATCTAAAAATTTAGCTAGATCCTTTTATCAAAATAATTATATAGAAAGCACAAGCTTAATGAGCAATTACGCAGAAGAAAAATTTTAACAATCAACTTGAGCATTCTACATATAATTATTTTGATAGTCTAATAAAATTATTGTATTTTCAAATGTATATCTAGCTAAATTTTTAGATACTTTAGCAAAATAATTTTTCTTTTTATTAACCATAAATTGTAATAATGAGAGAATATTTCGCAAATTTTCAAGATTAGACTGCGCACCGCGTCGTCCAATAGAAGTTATAGTAAGTTAATTATAAAAAAAAAATGCTGTGAAAAATATCTAAAGCTTTGAAAAATATGACAATTGCGATCGCTTCGTAATTTCAACAAAGCCGCATCGCTAGAATTATCCATGCGGTGGGCGTACGTGGACAAACCAACGAACAGAGGCTGTAATGTAGGAGTGACCTCGTAAAAGGCTCGGTAGTCTTAGGGGAAGTGGCCAAGTTATCGGGCCAGCGTCGTAAAATACTTTTTCTCTCGACTTTATGACGGTTATACTCCGTGCACAGACGTCCTCGGGGCTCCACCTGTCCGCTCGACTTCCTTCAAAAAGGCGATCTTTTTATTGGCCGGTCCGTACTTTATTTACGACGTCTTCTGCACGAACCGTTTTTTTTTCTCTTCTCCCTTTCCTCCCCCTCCCCCCTCTCTCTCTATCTTCTGGAAAGCGAAGAAAACTCCAGTCGCGATAAAGCGCGAACTCGTTGGGATTAATAACGTTTTCAACAATGCCGTATGGAATGTGCACGGTAAATAAATGAATGGATGGATATATGAATGCATGCGCAGACATGCCCACACTCTCGTTCTGTGTCGCCGACAAAGGAAGTCACTGGCATGTCAATTGAAAAGTCGAAAGCGTAGGAAGAAAAAGCACCGAGCTCTTCCCTTCTCAGAATAGACCCTAAAGGGATTATTTCTAATTCCT